TCATGGGAAATGGGACTCGGATTCAGAGGGTTAGCCATCGGTCGGTTTCTTTCGACCTTCCTCCTTCTGAGGAAGCGTTCGGCCTGCTCTCCGCGCACCTTCAACTCTTTCCAGGTATTGAGCGGGTCTACTCCCATAACGTCCAAGATATTAATGGACAAGTTGTTATGACAAGTCTGCAAGACGAATTCCTCCGTGACGGGATCCTTGCAATTCATTACCTGATTACGGAATCGTTTGATGAAGGTATCCACCGACTCTCCGTCTTTTTGTTTCTCATCGAAGAGTGTCCTGATCGACACTTCGGCGTCATCATCGAAGAAATGAGTGAGGAACATGCTCTCCAGGTCCTCCCAGCTGCGAAGAAATGAGTGAGGAACATGCTCTCCAGGTCCTCCCAGCTGTTGATGCTTCCGGGCTTGAGACGGCAGTACCAATCGAAGGCGGGCCCGTGAAGGGTGCCAACAAATGACCGGACCATCAAGGCTTCATTGCCGGAGATCGTGCCCAAGTGGGACTTGAAATAGATCAGGTGCTGAGTGGGGGAACCCTTCCCGTCGAACGGCGTGAAGTTGATCAGGTTGAACTTCGCCGGATACGGAATCGATTCCTATTCTTTCGGGTAAGGACACGGAATGCCGGTCTTCTTTACCTTTTGAGCAGACATTAAAGCATTAATTTTGCTCTCAAGATCCTTCATCTTTTCGTCCTCATCCATATCCTGTTTTGGACAATTTCCGAGAGGAATAATGCGGCCACCCCCAGTGTTATCATCATTGGTGGGTCCACCCCCAGCGTCGTTATTTTTAGTGGGACCACCCCCAGCGTTGTGTTCATCCACATCTGAATCGCTACCTGCTTGGTTAGCAGTGCTGCGACGGATGGACTCACCTAGCTGATTCGACAAAGCTCGGATTTGTTGGTCGTGCATTTGTCTCATCTCCTGCATAGCCATTTCCACTTCGATCTTGAATGCTTCTTTCTACTTAGCTAAAGCATCCTCAACCATTTTGGCTACTTCCTCGGTGTTAATCATAAACACTTCACGGCCGGGACTGGATACGGTGGCTTCTGAAGCGACTGCCGAGCAAGCGTCTGACGCTTCATCGTCCGAGGATAGTCCTCTGGTCATCCTCAAATAGTCTCTACGTCTAGTAGTCCCTGCACGTAGCCGAGTTAGACGATGTGATATGAGGGGGTCCGAATCAGAAGGTCGGGTAGATTTCCTCTTATCAGTCACGTTGGCGATGACTACGGATTGTTCAGGCCCGGCGGCTTCTAATTGAAGCTGAGATATTAGTTGGGCTATCCCCGAATTGACTCTCTTTCTTGGGGAGAAATCGGGGTTAGAAGTAATCGGAGACTTCCCCTTATCGACCATGTTGATGGTAACTTCTGGAAATTCATCATCTCGAACAACCGATCCTCTTTGGTGGAAACGCCTTGATTTAGGTTTCGTCGTTCCATCGGAGATCCTCTCGAATACCGAGACCCTTCGTGGAGCGGTCTTGGGGCAGCTACACGCTGATAATACTGCCCTGATAATTTTGATACACGGACAGTGAGAGTCCGCTTCCCGGGTACTTCTCTTTCGAGATTTATTCGTACCCCCAGCCTGATAGTATAACTCATCGACGTTGCGGTCGGAGTAACCTATCGGCTGCTTACATGGATTCTCAGGTATAACGCGTTCGTCTATCTGACGTGTTTTCCTCTGAGTAAACATTGCCTTGTTGGCATCTACATGAGTCACACGCTTAGAATCACACCTTTATGAGGGTGAAACCTTAACGGGCTCCTGGTTTTCTACACGCACCCCCAAGCGGGCTGTTGTAGAAATTAATTTGTTAGGAGGTCGCATACGACCCCCAGTCCGGATGTTTGCTCGGGGCTTCTTCAATGGTCCCAAGCATTCCTTAATAGGTGCTTTGCCTCGGTCCTCGGGTAGAGAGCCAATGCGATCCTTCAATAGGATTCTAGATTTGGAGAGAACCACGCTGTCATAGGGCTTCACCGAAAGTGCGGGAGCAGGACCTGGAGTTGACGAAGGCCGGAGAGCAACGTCGTCTGCTTTTGCCTTAGGCGTTGATTTGGTTTTTGGCATCCAAACTTGTTTGGATCTCGGCGATCTCTTAACTACCTCGTCCTTTTGCATTTCATGTGCTTTTCGCACAAGGATCCGGGCATGCGCAAGCAAGGCGCGGCGCTTCTGGATTCGCTCCTCGAGAGTAGAGCGGGTTCTTTTAACACGAACCCATTCGTTAATTAGAGATCGAGAGGAGGATTCCGATGCAGGTCGTGGTGACAGATTAGCCACTTGGCGCTTTCTGAACTCCAGATCTGCTTGGTAATGGAGTCCATCCATCTGATCCAAAGCCTTGGCGAATTGGCACGCGAGGTGTTGTCGTTTCCTTTGACGTGCTCTCTTTGACAGAGTTAGCGCGTCTTCAACAGTCGACTCCTTAATCGTGAAGGAGTTCAGATCTGCAGATCTGGTCTCATTGGATGCTGGCGGACCGTTGCAAGGTACGACTGTAGCATCGGCTACGGGGAGATCGATTTCTTGGGTCTTCAGATCTGGAGATCGACGGATCTTCTGGGAGGAGGAGGCCTTCTTGCACCTGCAAGGAGAGGCAGATCTGGAGGAGGAGGAGGAGGAGGAGACATACTCCTCGAACTTCTGCTGGTCGAACTCGTATTCGACATCTTCAGCCACTGGGATCTTGATCGTTGGCTGCGGCACGACAACCTCGGCAGCGAGGCTGTTGGCTCAGATCTGGAGGAGGAGGAGGAGACATACTCCTCGAACTTCTGCTGGTCGAACTCGTATTCGACCTCTTCAGCCACGGGGATCTTGATCGTTGGCTGCGGCACGACAACCTCGGCAGCGAGGCTGTTGGCTCCCACTTTGGTCGCCAGTTTGTTTGCGTCGAAAGTTGCTGTTTTCATTGCTATCGAATCTATTACAACTTTAGTTGTTACAATAAACTCGAATAAAATAAAAAGTTGATCTTTTTATAAGATCTCCTTACACAATGAAAATAAAAAGTTTACAACTTTATCAAACAAACGCAGAGATCGTTTATCGGTCTTCTGCTTGCGTGGGATCTTTGCCTGTGTCGGGGTTTATCCGTGGACCACCGTCGATCAGATCTGATTGCTAAAAAATTGGGCAGAGCTTCGTCTATCCGCGAAGGGATCGAGAAATCGTAGCTCTTATCTCGGCGAAGCGAGATAATCACTCTTCTTAAGATTACCACAACGGGATAATCCTAAGGAACGAATCCGGGAAACTGCAGATCTGACGAGCTCCTCTTCTTTATGCCGACGAACTTGATCAGATCTCTACTCCTCCTCCTTTCTGAAATCTGTGCACTTTAAGTCTTCAATCCGGCAGGGCTTCGCCGAGACACGAGAATTCCAGCCCTCAAAAAAATGAGGACCCGGGGCTGTATTTATAGGCTCCGGGAGGTTTCGGGCGGTTAAAACCGCTTAACGGGCCTTTTCTGCGTTGGAGACACCCCAGGGTGTCTCAACCTGAGCCGAGACACCCTAGGGTGTCTCAACTTGGGCCGAGACACCCAAGGGTGTCTCGGCCTTAGCCGAGACACCTTAGGGTGTCTCGTTGGTCCGAGACACTCCGTTATGGTGTATTTGTCCGCTTCCGCTGTAAATTCTTCATCCGAACTCGGATTTGAGTGATTCGAAGTGCGTTGGAAAACCGACGAGGAGTTCTATCAGCTCCGATGGTTGGATCATCTGTAGAATGAATGAGACATGAAGGGCATCGTTCCTTTTGTAAACATCGCGGGGCTCCCGATTAGCCCGTACCTTCGTTATTCCGAAATTCTGTTAGTTTACGTAGTTCGTCGATTCACTTCAAGTGTTCACCAACATCAATCGAACTCCTATGAACCGGATAGTGACGTCCATCGTCGTTCCTTAATACTGAGCTGTTCGTGGAGACCTATAGGTAATTTTCAACGCCTACAAGGTGCATGATAGTTGTTATTTGTGTTCCCATTCGTTAAAGTGCAATTCATTGCTAAGCAACGGGTATGTGCACTTCTGTATGCTATGCCCCAGTCAACTTGGCAGCCCAAGACCAGCGAGGAGTCCGACTAAGCCGACTCGTCGAGTCGACATTCCTCAATGTCGACAAGAAAGGAGGTACCAGTTGACCCTCTTGTCGAAGACAACTCGCCACAAGTCAACTCGACCACTTGCCAGACGCCTTGCAAAGACGACTCGAAAGGCGTTACTTCTCAGCGAAGCTAAACGACAATTTCTACCTCGAGCCTATCCTCATTGGCAACGTGTCAACATCACATTTAATGCTTGGTAGGCGTCATCATGCCTCTGGCCTCGATAGCCTTCATGACTCATCGGACCACATAGGCCCTTCCATGCCGCCGATCACTTCCCATTTAATGCTGAAGTGGTCCTTCCTCCAGTCGCTAGTCAACACCTGTAAAGCAGAAGCAGACTTAGCTGTCAGCCCCCACTTTGCCACAGCCCTCCTGTGCTTGGCTAGAGTGACCAATCTGCCCTTATACCCTAGGTATAAATACATGTACTATTCTAACATAAAAAAGGTTCGCAAATCTGGATCTTCTCTGATCTAATCTAATCAGTAAAATTAAACCGCACACTTACAAGAACACACACAATTCTTCTTTTTTCTCACTCAAGTTCATCAATTAACTTGGTCGTCAGAGGAACCACGGGGGACTTAAGCCCCGTCCTTTCACTTGTTCTACATGTGCAGGTTGTCCAGCAACCCAACTCAAGAATAGGACATAAAGTCAGGGAAGAAAACGGTCCCTCATCAAACTCTAACAAACTCATCCAATTTCGGCCCATACAGCTTTTATACAAGTATGTATATTGAATTTTCTTGAAATTTACAGATGACAACCAGCATATATTGTTTCTGAGAAAATAAAAGGAAAACTATATGTTATCAACAAAATCTAGTAAATAAAAGTTACTAAAATGCTTCTCATAGTTGCTTCTGAATTCATAATACACATTACTCTTGATATAACTGACAAGAAACCCGTATGCATATAAGTAAATTCATGTTTCAAGCAACAAAAGGGTCAGACATATACTTCATCTTGATCTTCTGCAACTGTGGGACAACGTCTTTCATAGCAAGCCTTTCATTAGGCAAGTCACTTGAACAAATAATCCCCAACTCCATGATTGAAGATAGACACGCTTGTGTTGAAATTAAGTAGCTCTTTGGCCTTTCATTTCCATTTTCATCTTTCAGGAGATTGCAGTCCACAATATCTAACAGGCCGGTAGGATTTGCGTCGTCTACCCATCGTCGCAAGCTTGATTCCCCAGTAAACATAGGATCAGTAGGCTTCTTTCTCGTAAAGGTTTCTAGCAACAATATTCCAAAGCTGTAGACATCTCCCTTTGTAGAGACCCTTCCTGTTGATGCAAACTCTACACCGTAAAACACAAAGGTTTAATACAAATCATTTGCGATTGGATTAAATTTGAAATGAAAGCTTGTCAATTTAATTACCTGGAGCAATATAGCCAATTGTTCCTGCCGTGCTTGCTGAGGTTCCGCTCAGGCTGACACCACTCAGTAGTTTTGCAATGCCAAAGTCACTCACGTGCCCACTCATTTCTTCATCCAGAAGGATGTTGCTCGGTTTTAGATCACAATGCAGTATAACCTCAGGATGGTGGTGGTGAAGATAGTCTAGAGCTGACGCTACATCGACTACTATATTAATCCTTTGGAGTAGGCTCAAGCAGTAATTATGGGAGTATAGCCATCTTTCTAGACTTCCATTGGGCATGAATTGGAGGACGAGTGCCTTGAAATCCAAGTTGGAACAAGCGCTGATGATTCTAACAAGATTTCTGTGTCGAACCATCCTCAAAGCACGACATTCAGCATCAAAACTCCTTGAAGCTCCTTCGATTTCCAAATTCAGGACCTTGATGGCAACAAGAAGGCCGTCATCTAAAAGCCCTCTGTACACAGAACCAAATGCACCCCTTCCGAGTAAGTTTATCTCGCTGAAGTTGTCAGTGGCACGAACAAGCTCGTAGTAGGGGATCAATCTATGCTTAGTAGGAGAGAGCATGCTAGTAGGGGCTAGACTCTTGGCTCTCCTTCTACGTAATCCTAATAAGATGCAAAAACAGAGAACAAGGATTCCGACAGAAGCAATAACAGGGAGGATATATCTCAAGAAATGCCTCCGTGAATTAGAAACTCTAGAATCAATTACATTGCAAGATGGAAAGCCAAATCTGGGTGCTCCACATAATGCCGCATTTCCTTCCAAAGACATGATGCTGGCATTCATAAAGGCACCAACATTTGGAACCTTTCCTTCTAACATGTTGAAAGATAAGTTAAGGATGCTGAGATGTCGAAGATTGATCAAGGACTCGGGTATAACACCTGTGATCTTATTGCAAGAAAGGTTCAAGACATCAAGGTTAATGAGATTACCAAATGATTTAGGAATGTGCCCGTCGAATGAGTTATTTGATAGATCTAAATAATTGATTTCGAGATACTTTGGAGGACTTGGAAGGTCACCCGACAGCTGATTTACTGATACATCAAATGCATATAAGCCCTGCATGTTCCACAGTGTTAATGGCAGCGATCCAGTGAGAAGGTTTTGTGAGAGATATAAGATCTGTAGACGAGTCAGACTCCAAATAGTTTCAGGAATTGTTGAGGATAACCTGTTAGCAAAAAGTGTTAATCTCTCTAGTCCAGTGATGTTGCCCAGTGAGTCAGGTATCGATCCAGAAAGACTATTGCCACCGAGGTCGAGTGTGTCCAAGTTGCTCAATCGGCCGAGCTCATGTGGGACGGAACCGTGTATCCTGTTACTAGCCAAACCTAGGTACTGCAGGCCTTGTAGGGTCGTGATTTCAAACGGCATTGTTCCAACTAGCTCATTATTGCCCAGTACTAATTGTGTCAATCCAGACAGGTTACCCAGCTCAACAGGAATTTTCCCCTTAATATGAGTATCACCAACATCAAGCACTGTTAGAGTCCTTGAAAGATTACCTACGGTACATGGAAGAATGCCATCCAACTCATTTCCACCAACATCCACTAAGTCTAAAAGTCTGCAGACTGGAAGGCTTCCATTGATGCCAGTGAAGGAAGATTAATAGAGGATAAAAGAAATTGATACTTCACGAGGGAAAATGCTCAACATAAATAGGCCAGCTGATTTGCTCTCACTTGCACCTACCAACGTTTACTCGGACTTTGCCGTCCTACGCCATCCCTTGCGTTTGGAAATCTGGTACCCATCGTCAACATAGACTTGGACTCTTGAAAGTCCTATCCAAGGCCATGCGTTTGCAAATTAAGTCATCAGAAATTAAGTCATCTGTCCTACATCAAAATATTTTCCACGATTGAAACATGTCCCTTGATATAAAGATCCCGTGAGGATGAATCAAATATTAACATATTCCCTATTCGGATTAAAAATATTAATATTAGGAAGGAGAAAAAAATCTGTGTCCTTGCTTATTTGGACTTGAATAGTCTGCACAAGATGGAGCCCACATCAACCGAGGGACAGGGTGAGACTGTTGGCAATCCACATCAACCGAAGGTATGCGGAAGAGAAGTGCGTAGTGTCTCATCTTCGTCTCCGCCATGACTTTTGTTTTGTTTTTTGTTTTTGTTTTTTGTATTTTTTTTTTCTTTTTGGGTCGTTTTCGCTGGGTTCACGGGAAGAAAACGAAACTGAAATTTCAACCTTTTTTCCTCTTTGGATTCCCTCATTTTCGTTTTCTTTTTCTCTCTCTTTCTAACCAGAGTCCAGACAGAGGAAATTTTTACTATGTCGTCTCTTTTCCTTTCTTTTATTCCATTTTCAATCAAATCAAACACAGGCTCAGGCTCCCGTACGTGAAATCTGGAAGATAATGAAGCAAATTAGAACTAAACAATCCAATCAATTGTTTACAATCCTCCTACTGCTGTCAGCATTTTCTAAATTAAAATCTCATACACGTCACCTTGGGCAGAACAGATCGATATCATTCGGAGACCAAAAAAAAAAGAAAAAGAAAAAAAATACTGCAATATTAGCAGTAAATGAGAAGAATAAATCAAAGATAGTGCATTACCTTTTTCTCTAGCCTCATCTTTGTCGATCTGTGCCTTTTCCACCATCAATAGAATAAAATGTTAACGATTGCCACCTGATCAAGCTTAAGCAGCTCACGAGCTACTTGTCCAGTGGAAATAAGCTCGTTATGCTGTGTGCCTACCGATGGCAAAGAGTAGGAAAATATAAAGAAGACCATACATTATCAACAAAATCTAGTAAATAAAAATTATATAATATGTTTCTCACAATTGCTTCATTATCTCATAATACAAATGTTATTCTTGAAATAACTAGTAAGAAACCTTTATGTATGTAAGTACATTTGTAATACATTTGTCAAAGTTCTAAACAATACAATACGCGGACATATACTCCTCCGCAACTTTGGAACCACATCTTTCATAGCAAGCCTTTGTTTAGGTAAGCCACTTGAACAGATAATAACCAACTCCATTATAGAAGATAAACAATCATTTCCTTTCTCATCTTTCAAGAGATTGCAGTCTCCACAGTATCAAACAGGCCGGTATGATTCGCATCGCATACCTATTATTGGCAAGCTTGATTCCCCAGTGAAGTTAAACATATGCCTTTGTGAGACTCTACCGGTTGATGCATACTCTGTTTGGACAAACCCAGGGCCCAATAGAGTAGGGTCGCAGTAATAGTAGTGAAAGTAAAGATAAAAAGATGGACACATAGATTTACGTGGTTCGGCACTTGATTGCCTACGTCCACGGGCAAGGATAGAAGAATTTACTATGAGGAGAAAACTCTGGAGTTACAATCTCTCTTTACAAGGAGCTACTCCTCTCTCTATTCTTTCTCTCTCTTCTATATAAGGAGTTTTTTCTGGGATGAGATTTTCTTAAGGATTTAAAGCCTATTTATAGTTTTGTGGAAAACATTATGCACAATAAAATATTAATATTTTACTATGCTGTGGGGCCCGTCATTTTTATTTTCTTTTCAAAATTTCAAAGTTGGTTGCTGCTTTCTTTCTTTTCAAAGTTGGCTGGCGCCTGACATACTCTATTCCACAGACATAAAGAATTGGTTTAAATCATATGTAATTTGATTAAATTTCAGGTTAAAGCTTGTAATTTCAATTATCTAGTGGTGCATGCCATGCAAGCTGAGGTTACACTTCTGTTATCAGCAGTCAATAGTTTTGCAATGCCAAAGTTGTGTGCAGTCATTTCTTTATCAAGAAGAATGTTGCTTGGTTTCAGATCACAGTGTAGTACAACCTCAGAATGGTGGTGATGAAGATAGCCAAGAGATGAAGCTACATCGACCACGATGTTGATCACAGTGCAGTAATTATGGGAGTAGAGTCATCTTTCAAGGCTACTATTAGGGCCTGTTTGGCTATTTCCAAAAAAAAAGGGAAACGGAAAACCCTCTTTGGAAATGATTTCAACACATATCAAGAGCTTTCCCAGTTTTCTTTTATTTTGTTTGTTTCGCAAAGAAACCTCCCCTTTTCATTGCTAAGTCACACAAAAAAAGCCTCCATAGTAACAGTGCTTTTGATTTCCATTTCTTTAGTTTGTTTGACAAGAAGAGAAAGGAAAAGAGAAATGACCCATTAAAAAAGGAATTTATTCATCATGGTACTCTCTAATAGTGCTTCTATTAATTAAAAACTCATTGATGTGATATTTCCAAGTGTTTTCATGACTTTTTATTGTGAAAACATATTTCTTGAAATGTGACATGGAATCCTAGGTGGCATCCCCATTTCCTTAAATAAAAAATGAAACAAACATGTGAAATGGAAATGTGTTGAAACCAAAAGCTGATGTGGATGAGGGGGATTTCCTCAAAGGTGACATGGCGGTAAGTTTTCTTCTTTTTTTTTGGCAAACAAACAGCCCCTTAGACAAGAATTGCAGGACGAGCGCCTTGGAATCCAACTTGGAACAAGTATTGTTGATTCGAACAAGTTTTCTGTGACGAACCATCCTCAAAGCTTGACAGTCAGTATCAAAACTCCTTGAAGCTCCGTCAGTACCCAAATTCAAGACCTTTATGGCAACAAGAGACCATCATTTAAATGCCCTACGTACACAGAACCAAAGGTACCCTTCCAATTAATTAATGTTGGGGATTCGAAATAATCAAATCAAATCTGTACCCTTCCAGATCTTGTGCTTGAGAGATGAGCAAGAAAGAAATTCACCACAAATAAAAGATAAAAACTTGTAGGAAAGTAAACAAGAAAGAACACACCAGATTTAACAAGGTTCGGCAGCGTGCCTACGTCATCGGGAGTCACACCACACAATTCTTTGATTACTTGAAGAAGATTACAATGCTTGCAATTGGCCTCTCTCTCTCTCTCTCTAAGATATCTAATCTCAAAGAGCCCTCAAAACCCTCTTTTTTGTGCTCTTTTTTCTCTTAAACCCTAAAGGGACGTGTTTCTATTTATAACAAAATACAATCCCAAACAGATTAGGATTCTGAAACGAGTCTGTCACACTCTGGTGTGGCAGACACCACACCCATGGCAGACAGGGCAGACTCTATCACAGGTGTGGCAGACACCACATCCATGACAGACAGGGCAGATTCTACCACACCAGGGTGTGGCAGACACCACATCCATGAACTGTCTTGAATTTTCATGTGACTGTTGATTTTGATTCTAGGTTTGGGTCTCCACTCTCAAGACCAACAATCTCCCACTTGGAGATCAAATCACCATCAATAAGCTCTCCCGAACCCCGCCTTCTTCGCAAGCATCTTCTCCTACTTGGAAAAATCCATTCTTCAATCATCAATATCCCGACGATCTCGCCGATCCTTATAGTGTGGCTCCACCTTCGTCTTCTACTCGTGAAGGCCAACTGAAGTTACGCACAACTCTAGTTTCTCAATGGTGACTGCTTTCGTCAACATGTCTGTCGGATTTTGACTCCCCAAAATCTTTATTAAATGTAACTTTCCGTCTTCAACTAGCGAGCGTATAAAATAGTATTTGACGTCAATGTGCTTCGTTCTGACATGATATACTGGATTCTTGGTAAGATGTATAGCGTTCTGGCTATCACAATAAAGAACTCCTCTCCCTTACTTCAGATCCTACTCTTCCAAGCACCCGTTCAACCAGATCACCTCCTTGCTTGCTTCAGTCACTGTGACATACTCAGCCTCGGTTATAAACTGGAAAAGATTCTAGGTAGTAAGAATCTAGCAGATATGTTAACAAAGACAGTGACCATTCAGAAACTGAAGTTGTGCGCAACTTCAGTTGGCCTTCATGCATAGATGATGAGGGCGGAGCCACACAAGAGAAGGAGCTTGATGTGATAGCCTGATGACGGCGGTTTGGTCTCCAAGTGGGAGATTGTTAGTTTTGGTGTAGACCAAACTCACCTCCGCAGGCGAGCTTTGGGGGACGATGCAGGCGAGCTCGAGTTCGTTAGGCGAGCTCAAGGTCCAATGCACTGTGTGCAGGCGAGCTCGTGGTCGACATCAGGCGGGGGTATATCGGATCTTTGCAGGCAAGGTCGACGCAGGCGAGAATCACACAGGCGAGCTCGAGCACTTTCGCCCGCAGGAGAAATCGAGCTCTGGTATCGCTGGCGACAGTCTATCGCCAGCCTAGCATCTGAGTTCCCCTATAAAAGGGAACACGAAACCCTAGCCTTGTGTGTGTGCGTCCGCTCTCTCCCTTCTCTCTCTCCTCTGGCGATTGCAAACCCTAGCGGCGGCGGTTCTATCTTTTCCTCACGCGATCTCTCTTTTTCCCTTTCTCCAGCGCCTTCAGAGATTGAGTTTTGAAGGGGGATTTAAGAAGGAAGTTAAGAGAGAGAGAGAGAGAGAGAGAATTAAAGTGGGGATCTTTTCCCAGCACTCAATAGGTGATTTTGTGGGGGTAACAAAAGAGAGAGAATCAACACTGTAGCTGTAGTATTGATTGTATTTATTGAGGGATATCAAGTTTGAGATTCGCTCTTGAATTGTAATTTCTTATTAGATTAATAAGAAATTTACTGTGTGGCTCCCGAGGATGTAGGCAGTTGCCGAACCTCGTTAAATCTTGGTGTACTTTTTCTATTCTGCGTTTCTACTGTCTTAGGGGTTTCGGCGTAAATTCCCAACATGCTCAACATAAATAGGCCAGCTGATTTGCTCACAATAATTATCTTTTGCCAGTTGACTAATGTCAACTGAAAGAGTGGATCAACTTACAAATTATATAACGCACTACCCACATTTACTTGTGGACTTTACCTAACGCACTACCCACGCTTACTTGTGGACTTTCACTTGGAGATATGGTCTTCAATTCTACTCCCACTATCAACATTGACTTGGACTCTTGAAAGTCCTATCCAATGCCCATGCGTTTGCAAGTTAAGTCATCAGAAATTAAGCCAACAGTCCTACATCAGAATATTTTCCATGATTGAAAAACATGTCCCTTGATATGAAGATCTCGTGAGGATGAATCAAATATTAACAGATTCCCTATTCGGACAAATATTAACAGATTCCATCTCGTGAGGCCGAACAAAAAGCAAGTACACAACATAAGTACTCAGTGGAAGCAAAGAATACAACATAAGTAAACAATATGTCCCGTAGATAATTGAATAACATAAAGGATATTACGAGTCTGATATCAGTGCCATCCTCACAGAAAATAAAATGACTAGGCCGCACATCTATACAAGTCTAGAATACCAACTAAAATAACCAGGCACATCAGAGTCACTACATAGCAGCGAAAATAGTATATGTTGGGACAAACCCGGGGCCCAATAGAGCAGAGTCGCAGCAATAGTAGAGCAAAAATAGAGATAAAAGGTTGGACACACATATTTACGTGGTTCGGTACTTGATTGCCTACGTCCACGGGCAAGGATAGAAGAATTCACTATGAGGAGAAAACTCTGGAGATACAAACTCTCTCTCTTTACAAGAAGAAACTCTCTCTATTTTTTTCTCTCACTCTTCTTATATAAGAAGTTGTTTCTGGGATGAGATTTCCTTAAGGATTTGGAGCCTATTTTATAGTTTTTGGAAAAACACTATGCACAATAAAATATTATTATTTTACTGTAGCAGTGGGCCCCACCATTTTGTTTTCTTTTATAATTGTCAACAATTGTGGGCTTAGTGGATTCACATGGGCGGCTGATTGTTGATAATCTCCCACTTGAAGATTTGGTTGAGTATCAATCATATCTTCACATCATTCTTTCTATCTTGTCATCTTCATGTTGCTTACGTCTCCATCAGACCACAGGAGGATCGACACCAAATAAATTTGTCAGTATTGACTGCTTCTGTCAAAAAATCTGCTAGGTTGTCTTTGGTGTGAATTTTCTGCATATCCACTGTTCCTTCTTCCACTTTCTCACGAACGAAGTGATACTGAACTCGAATGTGCTTGGTTTTTGAATGAAAGGCTGGATTTCTTGCACGAACGAAGTGATACTGAACTCGAATGTGCTTGGTTTTTGAATGAAAGGCTGGATTTCTTGCCAAATACAAAGCACTCTGACTGTCACAAAATAGAGCAACCTTCTTTTGTTCATAGCCGAGTTCCTCCAGCACCATCTTCAACCACATCGCTTCTTTACTGGCTTGTGTAGCTGCTACATACTCTGCTTCTGTTGTTGAAGTAGCCACAACTGACTGCAGTTTTGAAACCCAACTTACAGCTCCGCCAGCAAGTGCAAACACATAACCTGTGGTGGATTTTCTATTTATCACGATCAACTGCATAATCAGAATCAACATATCCACTGACAATAAAATCAGATCCCCCATAACATAATGCAACATTTGAGGTTCTTTGAATGTATCTTAGAATCATCTTTACAGCATTCCAATGCTCTTTACCAGGATTCGCCATGTATCGACTAACCACTCCTACTGCTTGTGCAATGTCTGGTCTTGTACAAATCATCACGAACATTAAGCTTCCCACTGCTGATGCATCCGGCACTCGAGACATCTCCATTCTCTCTTCTTCACTGCTAGGACACATCGTGGAGGATAACTAGAAATTAACAGGAAGTGGGGTAGAAATTGACTTACAATCTTGCATGTTAAAGCGTCGTAAGATTTTCTTCAAATAGTTCTTCTGAGAAAGCCAAATCTTCCTATTAATTCTGTCTCGGTAAATTTGCATCCCTAGAATCTTGTTTGCAGATCCTAAATCCTTCATTTCAAATTCCCTAGCCAACTGAGCCTTTAATTCTTTGATACGATCTTTGTTGGGGCCTGCAACCAACATGTCGTCAACATACAACAATAAGATAACAAAGTTATTTTCACCAAACCTCTTGAAATATGCACAAGGGTCTGAATTAAGTCTGTTGTATCCAAGGCTCATGATGAATGAATCAAATCTCTTGTACCAACACCTCGGCGCCTGCTTTAGACCGTACAGAGATTTGTTCAATCTGCAAACCAAGTTCTCTTTTCATTTTTCTTCAAAACCTTCTGGTTGGAGCATGTAAATTTCTTCTTCAAGATCTCCATGAAGAAATGTTGTTTTCACATCTAGCTGCTCTAGATGTAAGTCAAATATAGCGCTCATAGCCAAGACTATTCGGACTGTTGTTAGTCGAACTACAAGAGAAAATATTTCATTAAAATCAATACCTTCTTTCTGAGCATATCCTTTTACCACCAATATAGCACGATATCGCTCCACCTGATCATCGCCATTTCGCTTGATCTTGTAGACCCATTTGTTTCCAATGGTCTTTCTTCCTTGTGGCAGTGACACAAGTTTCCAAGTCTTGTTCTTATGGAGAGCTTCAATTTCTTCCTGCATTGCTGTCATCCACAATGATACATCTGTGTCATTTATAGCTTCATGAAAAGTTGATGGCTCTCCATCTTCTGTTAGAAGATAGTATGCAACATTACTCTCCGTAATATACTCCGAGTGCCAAGTCGGTGGTCTTCTCTCACGAGTTGACCTTCGAACTTCTGGAGCCTCGGACTCGACCGGTTCTTGTACATCATGCTCCGGTGTTACTTCAGAACTGCTATTGATTTAGAACTGCGTTTATTGCGTGGCCGTTGTCGAAGTCTTGAATTAGAACTGCTATTGAAGAATGGAGAAATAGTTTATACTCATATACTTTATTGGAGTGTTCGGGAAATAGTTTAACCTCATATACCCGTTAGGAGGTAATCAGGTTATTCTTAAGAATATTCTGAGTAATATTATCCAAAAACTTCCTATTGAGAGTAAGGAAACAGTTTAGACTCGTGTACCTATTGGAGTAACATGGTCTCTTTTTTGGTGGTAGAGATGAACCCAATGATGGAGAGGAAGAATTTTATATTCTATCTCCTGGTCTCTTGTTTGTTGGTAGAGATAAACCCAGAATTGGAGAGGAAGAATTTTATATTCTATCTCCTGGAGCAAAAGAAACTCGAAGTGGGATCTCCACTTAGAGAATCTGGATTGGTTTGAATAATCCTAACTGTCATAAGGTTTGATTATTCAGTTTAAAAGTGGACCTTTCGTTCGCAAAATGAATCGAAAGGAGATTTTGGTTGTGGTCCTAACTGTAGTAAGGTTTGACCAAGTGGGAGTTTTGAGACGATCCTAACTGTAGGAAGGTTTGATCGCTCAATTTGTGGACCTCTCATTCATGGAAGGAATCGAGAGGGGATTTTGGCTTTGGTCCTAACTGTTTAAAAGTTTGACCATATGGGAGTTTGATACGATCCTAACTGTTTAAAGGTTTGATCGCTCAATTTGTGAACCTCTCGTTCATGGAACGAATCAAGAGGGGATTTTGGCTTTGGTCCTAACTGTTTAAAGGTTTGACCATATGGGAGTTTGAGATGATCCTAACTATTCAAAGGTTTGATCGTTCAATTTGTGGACCTCTCGTTCATGGAAGGAATCGAGAGGGGATTTTGTCTTTGGTCAATTTGTGGACCTCTCGTTCATGGAAGGAATCGAGAGGGGATTTTGTCTTTGGTCCTAACTGTTTAAATGTTTGACCAAATGGGAATTTGAGATGGTCCTAACTGTTTAAATGTTTGACCAAATGGGAATTTGAGACGATCCTAACTGTTTAAAGGTTTGATCATTCAATTTGTGTGGATCTCTCGTTCATGGAAGGAATCGAGAGAGGATTTTGGCTTTGGTCCTAACTGTTTAAAGGTTTGACCAAATGAGGGGTTGAGACGATCCTAACTGTTTAAAGGTTTGATCGTTTAATTTGTGGACCTCTCATTCGTGGAAGGAATCGAGAGGGGATTTTGGTTTTGGTCTAACTGTTTAAAGGTTTGACCATATGGGAACTTGATACGATCCTAACTGTTTAAAGGTTTGATCGCTCAATTTGTGAACCTCTCGTTCATGGAACGAATCGAGAGGGGATTTTGGCTTTGGTCCTAACTGTTTAAAGGTTTGACTAAATGGGAGTTTGAGACGATCCTAACTGTTTAAAGGTTTGATCGTTCAATTTGTGGACCTCTCGTTCATGGAAGGAATTGAGAAGGGATTTTGTCTTTGGTCCTAACTGTTTAAAGGTTTGACCAAATGGGAATTTGAGACGATCCTAACTGTTTAAAGGTTTGATCGTTCAATTTGTGTGGATCTCTCATTCATGGGAGGAATCGAGAGAGGATTTTGGCTTTGGTCCTAACTGTTTAAAGGTTTGACCAAATGGGGGGTTGAGACGATCCTAACTGTTTAAAGGTTTGATCGTTTAATTTGTGGACCTCTCATTCGTGGAAGGAATCGAGAGGGGATTTTGGTTTTGGTCTAACTGTTTAAAGGTTTGACCATATGGGAACTTGATACGATCCTAACTGTTTAAAGGTTTGATCGCTCAATTTGTGAACCTCTCGTTCATGGAACGAATCGAGAGGGGATTTTGGCTTTGGTCCTAACTGTTTAAAGGTTTGACTAAATGGGAGTTTGAGACGATCCTAACTGTTTAAAGGTTTGATCGTTCAATTTGTGGACCTCTCGTTCATGGAAGGAATTGAGAAGGGATTTTGTCTTTGGTCCTAACTGTTTAAAGGTTTGACCAAATGGGAATTTGAGACGATCCTAACTGTTTAAAGGTTTGATCGTTCAATTTGTGTGGATCTCTCATTCATGGGAGGAATCGAGAGAGGATTTTGGCTTTGGTCCTAACTGTTTAAAGGTTTGACCAAATGGGGGGTTGAGACGATCCTAACTGTTTAAAGGTTTGATCATTCAATTTGTGGACCTCTCGTTCGTGGAAAGAATCGAGAGGGGATTTTAGTTTTGGTCCTAACTGTTTAAAGGTTTGACCAAATATGAGTTTTGTGAGGGAAGATTGACCCAACGAAGTGATCGAACCTCATCTCAGCAAAAGAGTATTCGGAAATCACCGTGGGGATGTAGTGTTTAACACTTTGTTTGTAATGATCAGGTTATTCCTAAGAAAATTACATATAGCATTCTTTTGGGAACTTCTGTTACATGAACCATCCACCCCCAGCTTTTCTTGCAAAAATGGGTTTATCATTATGTTTAGCTGTATGATCGGGTTATCCTTAAAAGTACTATGCATGGCATTCTCCAGGAACTTCCCGTGAAAGAAAGGGAATAGTTTAGACTCATATACCTGTTGGAGTATCAATGAGCAGTTTATACTCGTATGCTTTTCGGAGTGAGATGGAGAAGCAGTTTATACTCGTTTACTCATCGGAGTCAGGGAAAACAGTTTATACTCGTGTACCCAATGAAGTATTATGGTCTTTATTCGGCTTGTTTCGCCGTTATAACGCCGGAGTCAATTAAGGCTTAGATTTTGTTTTTGAGTCCGAAGCAAATTTCGGTGGGATAAAGAACCCTTCTGTGGTATGCACAGTAGTTTGGATCCGTAATACTCTTAGCTCCCTCCTGATCTTTAATAGGTGGTAGCTCGATTTTGTCATTGGCGAGGAGGTATTCCAATATGGCTGGAGCTTCATCATTTTCGAAAGAATACTCCTTTTGAAACCGCGGATCGAGAGTCGCGTTCCCAGCAATTGCAGATGTCGTCGGTCGGCTTCTCTCAGCTTTCTTTCTTTTAAGAAAGTGTTCAGCTTGTTCACCGCACATTTTCAAATCTTTCCAAGTTTTAGATGGTACGACCCCCAGAGCTTCCAAGACATCGATGGAGAGATTATTGTGGTATGTTTGTAGGATAAACTGCTCTGTAACAGGATCTCTGTAATTCATTGCCTTGTCACGGAAGCGTTTGATAAAATTGTCGACTGACTCTCCGTCTTTTTGCTTCTCATCCAAAAGGGTTCCAATTGACACTTCGGTGTCATCATCGAAGAAATTACTGAGGAATAAACTTTCTATATCATCCCAGCAATTGATGCTCCCTGGCTTGAGACGTCGATACCAATCGAAGGCGGGCCCACGAATGGTGACAACGAATAACCGGACCATTAAAACCTCGTTTCCAGAGATCATGCCCAAATGAGACTTGAAATAAATCAAGTGCTGAATAGGCGAGCTCTTCCCATCAAACGGTGTGAAGTCAATCGGATTGAACTTTGCCGGGTATGGTATTGAATCTCATTCTCTTGGATAGGGACACGGAATACCCGTCTTCTTTACGTCCTGAGCAGACATCAAAGCATTGACTTTGTTTTCAAGGTCTTGCATTTTATTGTCCTCATCTTCATCTCTCTTTGAGTGATGTTGAGTAGAAATGATTAGGCTACCCCTAGTGTTATTAAGAGGTGCAATTGAACCACCCCCAATATTATTGTTAGGAAGATCCATTGAACCACCCCCAGCGTTATTATTATTAGGAGGTGTATCAGCCATAATGACTTCATCCACTTCTGGATCACTATCATCTACAACATTCTGAGTGTGGCGGCTAGATTCAGCTCGCTGACTGGACCCAGGAGGTTAAGGCCGTTGAGCTAGCAATTATCTCATTTGTTGGATGGCCAACTCCATCTCTGTCTTCATCTCAGCTCTAATTTCTTCACGTTACTTGGCTAAAGCTTCTTGAAGCATTTGAGCAAACTGATCAGAAGTGATTGTGAACACTTCTTTGGTTTGTCCCGTGCTAGACATTGTATCATCAGAAGTGATCGCAGAACAAGTATCCGAGAGTTCATCCTCCGAGGACATTCCTTCATGCATTCTCTTGTAGTCTCTACGTCTAATAGCTCCTAGCTGGAGTCGAGACATCCGTTGGGCAATTCTTGAATTGACTTTTCCTCCCGGGGAATAGTCGGGATTTGACTCATTTGAATGCCATTTAGATTTTCCTTTATCAGCCATGTTGATGGTGACTTTAGGGAATTCATTTTCTTGAATAGCAAGCTTCTTGCTAAAACGTCTCGGCCTGGGCTTTGACATTTCGGTGAAAAGCCTCTGGAACACTGAGACTCTTTGCGGGATGACTTCTCGTTTGGCATAGTTATATTCTGACAATGCTACAGCTTGATAGTACGATTCATCGGTATGATTGCCGAAAAATCCTATCGTCTGTTGGTATGACCTCCCAGGTATAACGATGTCTTTTGGCGAACACGCCTTCTTATGGGGTGTAGGCATCGAAAATTGCCTATAGGTCTCCACGAACAGCTCAGTGTTAAGGAACGACAATGAACGTCACTATCTGGTTCACAGGAGTTCGATTGACGTCGGTGAACGCTTGAAGTGAATCGACGAACTACGTGAGCTGACAGAATTTCGGAATAACGAAGGCACAGGCTAATCGAGAGCCCCGCGATGTTTACAAAAAGAACAACGTCTTTCGTGCCTCGTTCGTTCTACAGATAATCCAACCATCGGGGCTGATAGAATTCTTCGTCAG